GGGGGGGGAGGGACAGAGAGAGAGGGAGACAGAGAATCCCAAGTAGGCTTCACACTGATAGCAGTGAGCCCGATGTGGGGCTAGAACCCATGAACTGTGAGATCATGACCTGAGCAGAAGTTGGATGAGTAACCAACTGAGCCACCCAGGAGCCCTAAGGTTTATATATTTTTGAACTCTACGTAAGTAGATAAAATCATACTGCATGTTCTTTGAAATTGTATGTGTAAGATTCGTGCACACCGATGTTTGTAGTTATTATTCATTCATTTTCACTGCTTTGTAATACTTCACTGTGTGAAATACTACTCCCATTTATCTATTTTCCTCAAAACTGACATCAAGATTGTTTTTCATTTTCTACCAGGGAGTTAATTATTTTAGGCTCTATTATGGTCTATGGTCTGGTCTAGGTCTATGGTCTATGGTCTGCTGCCATTACTCTGTTGTAATACAAAAACAGCCACAGGCAATATGTAACAATGAACATGGCTGTGTCCTAACAAAAACTTTATTACAGACAGACTAGAGGCCACAATTGTTCTGGGGGCCATAGTTTGCTAACCTCCAAGCAAGGTTCATGTCTAGAAATGGACTTGCTGGATCACAGAATATGCCTTTGCTAGATAATGCCAAAATATCCTCCAAAGGGGTACCAGTTTGCACTTCCTGACACTACACATACTTGTTAAATAATGTTATATCTTGTTAATTTCTGATGTGATATAATTTTCTGATAGATGTGAAATGTTTTTACTATGGTTTTAATTTGTATTTCTGCTATTACAGAGATAGAACCCCTTTTATGTTTATTAACCATTTGTAATTTCTTCTGCCATAAAGTGTCAATTTACGTCTTCTGTTTTTTTTAGGTGAAATGTACAGCACATTCTCTCAGTGGCTTGTCTTTTCAATTTATGGCTATTTGGTGAACAAAGAAGTTCTTCAATGTGGCCCTGTTTATCTGTTTTCTTTCATTTGTATTTAGGAGCATACATTTTGGCAGCAGACACTTGCTGGTTGTGTGATGTTAGGCAAATCTCCCCGGCCTCAGTTTCTTTATGAAATAAGGATAATATTAGCATTTACTTCCTATGGTTATTATCGAAATTAAAATTACATATAATGTTAACAAAGTACCTAACATAGAGTAAATGCTATATAAGTCACTGCTGTTATTATTATTTCCCCAAGGTCAAAAAGATTTTCTCCTGTATTTTCTTTGAAAACTCGTAGCTATTTCTTGAACATTCTAAATTTCAAGTCAACTTGAACTGATTTTTGCATATAGTATATTTGAGGTAGGATGAATTCCTTTTTTTCTTTTTTTAAAGTTTATTTTTGAGAGAGAGCACATGCATGTGAACGGGGGAGGGGAGAGAGAGAGGAAGAGAGAATCCCAAGCAGGCTCTGCATTGTCAGCACGCCCCAAGCGGGGCTTGATCCCACAAACCGTGAGATTACGACCTGAGCTGAAACCCAGAGTCGACACTTAACTGATTGAGCCACCCAGACGCCCTCTAATTCCTTTTTAATACACATATAATGTGAATAGCCAAGTATCCCAGAAACAATTACCAAATAATCCTTTCTTTTCCCATTGATCTGAGTCCTTGATATATCAAGTTTTTCATATATCTCTGGGTTTACTATCTACTGGATTTTATCATTCTCTTTTAATCCTTGTGATCTACCACTAGATTAGATTAATTACTGACTCTAAAGCCTTCATACCTAGTAGGTTACGTTCCACCATGGTCTTCTTTAAAATTTCTTTGTGATTCTTAGCTCTTTGTTTCCACGTAAAATTTAAAATCTATTGTCGAGGGGCACCTGGGTGGCTCAGTTGGTTAAGCATCTGACTTCGGCTCAGGTCATGATCTAGTGGTTCATGGTTCAAGCCCCGTGTCAGGCTCTATGCTGACAGCTCAGAGCCTGAAGCCTGCTTCATGGAGTCTGTCTCCCTTTTTCTCTGCCCCTCCCCTCTTGTACTCTGTCTCCCTCTCTCTCAAAAATAAATAAAACATCAAAAAAGATAATAAAATCTATCGTTGATTTTCACACACACACACACACACCACCTTCTTGGGATTTCAGATGGAATTACATCAATTCTATAGATCAATTTGAGGAGAATTTACATTCTTTTTTATAAACATGATGTCTGTCACCTTTTTTATAAACCTGATATATTTCTCCACTTATTTAGGTCTTCTTTAATGTCTTTCAATAAGGTTGTATAATATTTTTTATAAAGGTCCTCCAAATTCATACATAAGTATCTTATATTGCTCATCTCTATTAAAATGGTATGGATTTTCTTTTTATTTATCTTCTTTGGGATTTGTCATACTCCTAGCATTCACTGTCCATTTGGAATCCGAGGATTCCTGTGTTTTTAAAATACCTAGAAAATTATCAATTATTATCTTTTCAAATACTACCTATCTCTCATTCTATTACATTATCCTACAATTTTGACAAAATACATGAGACTTTCTCACTTTATTCTCTAAGACTTTAACTTATTTTACATTTTCTATATCCCAATCTCTTTCCAATGACTTCTAGTACTTTAGATCTATTTTTCAGTTCATTAATTCTCACTATCAGCTCCTGGGCAAGCTGAAATGCCAGGTACCCTTTCACCTGAAATAATTAAAAATTGGGACAAGATACATGAAACAATGGTTTTCCAGACACTGAACATCAGGCAATGATGGACAGTGACATGAGGGACAAGAAACAAATGAGATGAGCCCTATGAGCTTACTGCTTCAAGAAAATCCAGGCTGTGGCACAGGGATAGGAACTCAGGTGAAGGCTGGTGGTCTCCCCTAAGTTCAGAAGACAAGACTGAGAGTCAAGGAAAGCCAAAGCAGTCAGGGTTGCAGAGCAGATACTGGAGAGCTACACAGACTAAAAGTTCCAGAGATCTTTTAAAGGTACCACTAGAGTGCAGAGCTCAACACAGAGGAAGCTACTCAAGAGAAAGCCAGAGAATAAAACCGTCAAAAAGTTAAAGGGAATAATACTCAGGGCTCATACAGGGATGGAGTAATTCCTATTCCCCTGAGTCATTTGAAAACCTCATAATTCATGGGGCAATACATAGTGTACTCAAAATGGTTTTGTCCCAGTGGTGGAACAAAATTAGTCCAGGACTAAATGCTACTCTGGTCCCAGTTTTGCTAAAAGCAAAACTGAAAAGTCTCAAGCTACTTTCATCGACTAAACTATATCCCAGAACAAACCTAAAAAATATTTATAGGAATCCACCAACCAAGAAGGTGAAATTCACAATATCTGACATCTAAAGTAACCAGGAATGCAAAGAATCAGGAAAATATAACCCATGATGAGATGAAAAAAACAAAACCCAACTGACACAAAGTTGATAAAAACAGATAATCAAATTAGTAGACATGGTAAATAAAAACAGTGAAGACACAGTAAAGGAAATCAGCCAAAATGAAATACCAAGAGAAAAAAGACTGTCAGAACACATGTATCAATTTGTTAAAAATATTCTACATATATTGGGGCGCCTGGGTGGCGCAGTTGGTTAAGCGTCCGACTTCAGCCAGGTCACGATCTTGCGGTCCGTGAGTTCGAGCCCCGCGTCAGGCTCTAGGCTGATGGCTCAGAGCCTGGAGCCTGTTTCCGATTCTGTGTCTCCCCCTCTTTCTGCCCCTCCCCCGTTCATGCTCTGTCTCTCTCTGTCCCAAAAATAAACATTGAAAAAAAAAATTAAAAAAAAAAAATTCTACATATAGAGAAAGCAATAAGGAATGAAAACAAATTTCATTTTTTCCTCCATGTCTGTACAATGATTTTTTAAAAAGAATAAAACAACAATAACTAATACTTACTGAATGCTTACAAATGCCAGCAACAAGTTCTTGACATATATTAACTCATTTAATCTTCACAAGAACTTAAGAATTAAGTACTAGCATCACTCCCATTTTACAAATAAAGATACTGAGGGATGGAAAATTTGAGTAGCTTACCTATAGGTAATATGTAACAGAGATGGATATGAACCCAAATAGTCAGCCTTCAGAGTACACATTCCAAATAACTGTTACACAGCATCTCTAGAACACTATTTTGTAATATTATCTTTTATTTTAATGTTTATTTGAGAGAGAGTGCATGCAAGTGCACACTGGGGAGAGAGAGAGAGAGAGAGAGAGGGAGACACAGGATCCAAAGTGGGCTCTGCACTGATAGCACAGAGCCCGAATGGGGCTCGAACTCACCAACTGTGAGATCATGACCCAAGCCAAAGTCGGACGCTTAACTGATTGAGCCACCCAGGCACCCCACTACTTTGTAATTTTAAAAACATACAGTAAGGGGTACCTATAGTATAGTATATTAAAACTATAATTGAAATAGTTATTCATACAACACAATATACCCCAAATCCAGTTTGATAAATTACCTGATGATTAACACGTGTCAAATGTTCGATAGTTTTCTCTAATTTTGATTTTTCAAAAATACTCATTTCCTGGAGATTCTGAAAAAAAATTTTATAGAAGATGTTCATTCATATCAGATAACAAAATTACCAGAGTAAACAAGTCTACAGTATTATTCTGTTTGTCTTTTTATAACATGGAAATGTTTTAGAAAGAAAATCATTAGACATTTTACAATAATGCTTTTGGTTGAAAAAAAAAAGTGACAGGAGTTTCTCGTTTTTTATATTCTACCTCCATGTGTAATTGTAACAAAAGACACAGAATGGTATGGATTTGTTTTTAAATTTTTTTTTTCAACGTTTATTTATTTTTTGGGACAGAGAGAGACAGAGCATGAACGGGGGAGGGGCAGAGAGAGAGGGAGACACAGAATCGGAAACAGGCTCCAGGCTCTGAGCCATCAGCCCAGAGCCCGACGCGGGGCTCGAACTCACGGACCGCGAGATCGTGACCTGGCTGAAGTCGGACGCTTAACCGACTGCGCCACCCAGGCGCCCCTGGATTTGTTTTTAACAATTTATCTAGATCAATCCAATCCATTAGCACAACTATAAAGGGAAAAACCGAGAAGGTTAAGTAAGATCAGGAGTGTGCCCTAATGAGAGATATCAGAGGAAGAGAGTGCAAAGAAGAAATCACAAAGACAAAGGAACAGAATACTACAGGGCCAAGCAAGAGATCAGAATTTCAACAATGGGATGGTCAACAGTGTAAACAAGTGCTATTTCTATAGTTATGTTACCTTATCCAATTATTGCTGATACTAAGTGTAGAACAAGTGATACAAGTTGGTGTTCTCTGAGAATTTTTCTAGTGTAGATTCATACTTCTATCCACGTTATTCATTAAAAACAAATAGACACCCGATGTTTGGATTACATATCTGGTTGGAAGGGTCACTGCACTGTATTCATTTTTTGTTTATTGAATCATTCAACCAGTATTGAGTACACACTATATACCAAGCACCAAGCAAGGTATTAGGAATGCATAGTGAGTAAAATGGATAAAGCCTCTGACATCATAGTTACTAAAGACTAGTAGAAAAGACAAACCTTAAACAAGACACTATATAAAACCATGAATATTCTGCTAGAAAAAGGAACTTTATGGCAACATATTGAAAGGGAATCTAGAGCCTAGAGTTCGCTTCCTATGTGAGGAAATGATGTTTAACCTGGCTAAAGGATGAATGGGAATTTGCCAGGTGAGGGTACTCAAAGAGATGAACAATTTTTCAATAGCCTATATAGAAAACTGGGGGCAAGAAAAAGTCCATTAAGCTTGGAGTCAAGAAAGTGAGGGGTGGGAAATGGGGAGATAAGTTTGGGGAAAAGAAGGCTAGACCTTGAAGTAGGCAAGAGCCAATCACTGAAGTCTTTGAAAACAGTTAACAGATTTAAATAGGAAGTGATGTGATCGGATTTATACCTCTGAAAGATGACTCTAACTTCAGTGTAAAATATAGATTTGAGAGGCTGCTAATACACAACTATAGTTGAGAAAGAATAATGGCCAGAACAGGATGGCAGAGGAGTAATGGAAAGAAGTAGACATATTGAAGAGAAACTAACGTGAGCTCAGGAGCCAGACTCCATGTGACTTCATAGTTAGGTGATCTTGGGCAAATTATTTAAACTCACTGTAACTCAGAGACCACATCTGTAAGCATTACCTATCTGAAAGGCAATTGCGAAGATTTACTAAGCGCATGGAAAAAGCACTTAGAACAGAGCTCCCCACATGAAAAGGGCTTAATAAATGTTAAATATTATTTAAGAGGTAGCACAAATAGAACTTGGTGATTGATTGAAGGACAAGAAGAGCTTTAAGGGAGAGAGGAGTCAGTGATGATGCCTGGTTTGACATCTGGGTGGGTAGCAGAATAAGAGGAAATTACAAGAGGAAACTTATGGATTGAGATGATTAGTTTTAAGTAAAAGACCTACTGTAAGCTCATAAATCCTGCCTCCTACAATCTAGAAAGATTCTGGTAATATGAATATCATTTTTTTCTGAGCTTTTAGTACTACTGCATTTTTAAATCCTGTTTTTACATTCCTTGGTCCTTTCAACAAATATGGAAAAGAATAAATCAGTAGCTTGTGCTAAAAGTTGCCATATTGCACAGAAGTTTTCCATTTGGTAGTTTTAACACTTATTTTTATAAGAAAGCACATTCTGGAAGGCAGTATTCCAAAAGATCCCAATTAAAAGTATTGTGTTGGGGTAAAATTTTAACTGAAAATGTATGCAATAAGGGCTACCTTTATAATGCTTTAATGTCCTTATTCCTAACTTTAGCTACAATTTCTAAGCATTAATTCAATAATACCTATTGAAAGTAAACTACACAATCCATAATAGTAAAAGTAATAGCTATGTTGAGTTCTTACAATGTTCTAAACTCTATTAAGTGCTTTGTGTACATTAACATATTTTTTGGAGATTATAAAAGAAAACATAAAATACTGTGCCTAAACAGGACACCAAAAGCACAAACAACAAAAGAGAAAATACATAAAATGGACTTCATCAAAATTAAAAACTCTGTGCTTTAAATGGCTTTAAAGCCATTTAGAGCACACCATTTAGAAAATGAGGGGCGCCTGGGTGGCTCAGTTGGTTAAGCAGCCAACTTCGGCTCAGGTCGTGATCTCACGGTCTGTGCGTTTGAGCCCCGCGTTGGGCTCTGTGCTGACAGCTCAGAGCCTGGAGCCTGTTTCAGATTCTGTGTCTCCCTCTCTCTGACCCTCCCCTGTTCATGCTCTGTCTCTCCCTGTCTCAAAAATAAATAAAACATTTAAAAAAATTAAAAAAAAAATTAGAAAATGAAAAGGCAACCCACAGAATGGGGCAGAGTATTCGCAAATCATGTATCTGATAAGGGGCTTGTACTAAAAGTATATAAAATACTCTTATAGTTCAATAACAATGAGATAATAATCCAATGTAAAAATGGACAAAGCATCTGAATAGACATTTCTTCAAAGATGATATACAAATGGCTAAATAAGCACATGAAAAGATGCCTGAAATTATTAGCTATCAAGGAAATGCAAATCAAGACCACAATGGATACTACTTCATACCCACCAGCATGATGATAATAAAGAAGACAGATAATAACATGTGTTGGTGAGGATGTGGAGAAATTAGAACTCTTATACAGTGCTGGTGGGAATATAAATGTTACAGTTGCTTTGGAAAACAGCCTGGCAGTTGCTCAAATGGTTATGGTTATCATATGAACCTAGGTATATACTCAAGATTAAATGAAAACCCATATAAACAAAAAGCTGTACATGGATGTTCACAGCATCATTATTCATAATAGCCAAAAAGTAGAAACCACACAAATGGAAATTAAAATGTTGTCTGTCTATCCATACAATGGAATATTATTCCACAATAAAAAGGAATAAAGTATTAAAACATATATATGCTACATGAATGATCTTGAAAACATTATGCAAAGTGAGAGGAACCAGAAGATAAAAACCACATACTGAATGATTCAATTTATATGAAATGTTCAGAGTAGGCAAATCCACAGGGACAGAAAGTAGCTTAGTGGTTACCTAGGCCCAAAGAGGCTGGGGGGAAATGGAGAATGGCTGCTAAGGGGTTTACAGTTTCTTTTCGAAAATGCTCTAAAATGGACTGTGGTGATAGGCTTAACAAGCCTGTGAATATACAAAACCACTGAATTTTACATTTTAAATGGGTAAACTGAATGGCATGTGACTATCTCAATAAAGCTGTTTTAACAACAACAAAAAGATAATGTCCCTCTACCTGAGGAACTTCCTATTGAGATCAGAGGTCAGTAATTTTCTATAAAGAACCAGATAATAAATATTTTAGGCTTTGTGGGCCAGTTTCTGTTGCAAATACTCATCTCTGCCACTGCAGCACAATAGAAACCACACAGAATACTATGGTAAATGAATGAGCGTGGTATTCCACTAACGTTGACCAATGATGAAATTTGAATTTCATAGTTTTTGTGTGTCATGAAATACTCTTTTTATAGGACTTAAAAATGTAAAAACCATTCTTAGCACATGGTCATACAAAAATACAATGGTCTGGATTTGGCTCATGTGTCATTGTTTGCCAACCCCCTAAATAAATAATCACTTTACAGGAAAATATCTATAAAGACCTCCTTTTTCTCCATAAATTTCAAAAATAAGTCGATCTTCTTACTTACTTTTAACTTTTCTTTTAAAGCTTCTTTTTCTGCCATAATCCTTCTTAAGTCAGATAATGCAAGTTCTTTTTCTTTTTCCATAAGACTAATAATATTATGGGAGGCTGTGGTTTGGGTGGATTCTTGTCTTAGGGCACGTAACTGTTCCTGAGCCTTAAAGAATTAAAAGATATAAATAAAAAATGCTTTGGATATGCTCCCATGTAAAAAAAAAACAAACAAAGGCAAACTAAACACATGCTACTTTGCTCTCTTGCCAAATCTAAACAAAACGAGTAAAAGGTATTAAAATAGTAACAACAATAAAAAAAAAACAAAAAGACAAAGAGATTAACGGGAAATGCAAGCTACAGAATTTTGGAAACCAGACAGCAGGTGGACAATTAGTAATTAAGTAAGCAGACCCAAGCTGAAATCCAAGCCACATGGAAAGCCCAGAAATCAATCAATTTGCAACTGCAGATTCTAAAAAAGCTTCAGAAGTAAAAACAGCTTTTTCAACTTGACCTTTTAACTTACATGCCCTTCTCCCTCTCTCAAAGTGGCAGTGGAATTTCATGGGAAATTGATATGGAACAAATATATCCAAATCATGGGTGTTATCCACTGTTTGACAGACTATTAACATGTCTGAATCCCAAGGATAAACTTGGCTCAGAATCAGGCTAAGACCTGGTCTAGGTAATTTTAGAAGAGACTATCTAACAGACCTGACACATAGACTAGAGAAGGAGAATAAATATGAAAGAATAATAGAAATCTCTGCTTTAGGAACAGGATGATAATAATAGATAATTCTAATTATGAAGAAATATCACAAGGTCCATATATTACAGTAATTTAAAAGATTTACACTGGTTCCCTTAAGCTATTCTATAGAATCTGTTGGCTTAATCAATTTCTTACTTCATTATATAAGACACTTAGTTTATCTCTTTCTGCTGTCAACAATTTAACATTGGACTGTATATCCTCCATATGTCTTTCAAATCTTTCCAGCATCCGCTGAAGTTCATCTCTTTCTCTTGTGATCAGATGAACTTCTGAGTTGTAATCACCCTGAAACATAATTTAAAAACAGAAGTTATCACTTGTTATAATTATCACCATATGGTTGTCACAGGATGCTGGTAATGACAGTGACTGGATAATGCTAACAGATAAAAGAACACAATTTTTTATCTAAAATGAGAACAGAAGATGAGAGTGCAGGCAGTATTGGGGCAAATCTCCTGGCCTTCAAATGCCTAGGAAGGGACTCCACTGCCAATGATACCACTTGATCAGATCCCATCAGATGCTTCAACTGTCCTTCTCCTGGAGTTGTTTATAATAGTAGTAACTAGGAACTTGTTAGATATGCAAGTTCTGTGGGCCCACCCCAGACAGACTGAATCAGAAACTGTGGGCACAGGGCCCAGTAACTATGGCTCATCAAGCCCTCCAGGTGATTATGCATGCTAACTAACTGTTGGCAACCACTAGTTTACAACCCACTCCAGGGGAGGGACTAGGAGGGTATGTGTGTGCCTATTACCCACTGCATGTTAACTATTACAGCCTAGCACATTCCCCAGTGTCTTTTTTGTTTGTTTGTTTGTTTTGTTTTTTTTACTGAATCTAAGATCAATTTCCCAGCCACACCAACCGCCCCACCTGTCCCAGCCCCAACCTATGTGAGGTCTATTTTTGCAATGAGATAAATATAAATATTTCTACCGAGGAGTATACATTAAGGATGTTCACCAAATAAGCAACTACTTCTAACATTTCTAAAACAGGATTATGCCTATTATTCTAGTCCAATGCAAAAGACCCACTATCTTCACTACTGTGGAAAATAAAGGTGATAAATGTCGACCTGGAATCTAAGATATCTTAGCATTTAGGTACTAATTGCAGAAGCCCCACGTAGGGATAATCTGATAATCAGGTACACTGGAAAGCATTCTGATCTATGTCACTCACTATCTACCGTGCACATAACCATGTCCAATGTAGACTTGGTATCTGTAAGTACCCCTAACCTGCCACTTGGAAATAAGTTATCCTTTTGGTTAAACAAGCAAAATCAAGGCATAATGAGATTAACCATCTGGACACTTAAAAGACAAGACATTTTACAGGACAAAAGCAGATTAGGGTTTGAGGGCTTAATTAAGGCTTAGATAAGTATAAGAGAAACTCTGTAACCTAACCATATCTACATAAAAATATCTTACAGAAAGGAGGTAGTTTACATAGATTTTAAAAAAGGAGAACTCTGTGAATAAAGATTGACAGTCCTGCAGATGTGGTCATTGAGCACTAGAACGAAGCAGAGCTGAGCCTTGTATTGTCCCACTGCACTAGAGCCATAGATGGGGCCACGGCCAACAAAATTCAGCAGGCTAGGGCAAAAGCCCAGAAGTGAGGGGCTCACTCTGCATATCTCTCTGAGCTCTGGGCTTGGCAAAAGTGTTGCTGCTCATCCAGCTTCTCCCCCAAAGCTCAGGTGAAGATCTGGGGTGGGGTAGGAGCTGGGGGTCTGGTTATAGAGAAAGTTGGAACATTAAAAAAAAAAGATTTTTTATTACTGTCTTGGTCTCAGCTTAACGGTGACTTTCTCTAAGGAATCTTCTGATTCTCCAATCTAAAATTTTTTATTTATTTATATTATTATTTTTATTTTAGAGAGAGAGACAGTATGAGCAGGGGAGAGGTGCAGAGGGAGAAAGAGAGAGAATCTTAAGCAGGCTCTACGCTCAGCATGGAGGCCAACATGGGGCTTAATCCCACAACCCTGGGATCATGACCTCAGCTGAAATGAAGAGTCAGTCAGAGTCTCAACTGACTAGGCCATCCACGTGCCCCGCCAATCTAATTTAGATCTCCCTGTATGTATTCTCAGACCATTATGAAACCTTCTTGTATCTTTTCTTCACTAACACTATAAATGAGCTTATAAAGTTATTAATATGATTATGTGTTTAAAGTACATCTTTACCATTAAAATGTAAGCTCTGTGAAGGACATAGTAGGTATCTGGTTTTACTCACCATAACTTCAGTGCCTACCATAGTACCAGGTAAAATGTATAAATTCTCTAACATTAGTGACTGGCCTTCTCCCCCTCCCACAAATTTTTTATTTAAATTCTAATTAGTTAACATATAGTGTAATACAGGTTTCAGGAGTAGAATTCAGTGATTCATCACTTACATGTGACACCCCGTGCACATCACAAGTGCCCTCCTTAATACCCGTCACCCATTTAGCCCATCTCCCATCCACTTCCTTCCATCAACCCTCACTTTGTTCTTTATTGTTAAGAGTCTTTTATGGTTTGCTTCCCTCTCCTTTTTTCCCCTTCCCATATATTCATCTGTTTTATTCCCTAAATTCCACATATGAGTGAAATCATAAGGTATTTGTCTTTCTCTGACTTATTTCACTTAGCATAATACACTCTAGCTCCATCCATGTTGTTGCAAATGGCAAGATTTCATTCTGATGGCCGAGTAATATTCCTGTGTGTGTGTGTGTGTGTGTGTGTGTGTGTGTGTGTGCGCGTGTATATACATCTTTATCCACTCATTTGACTGGCCTTCTTAAGCAGGAACTCTAGCTCTTTTCTAAATATATCCTGTATGGACATAAACATGCAGGTATTTATATTTGTGTTCATAAATGTTAATAACGCCCTTATACCACTCCATCATTCCTAACACACACGTACACAAGCTCATACACACACATGCAAAATACTAAATGCTACGAGCATAGGAACTATGTCTTCTTTATCTCATGTCCAGTGTTTAATTCATAGCTGGCACTCAGTATGTGTCTGCTCAACTGAACCGAACTTTGTATCTAGACTTGATGTACTTCCCCACTTTGTAAATGAGGAAACAGGGGTTCCATGAAGTGAGGGAACTTATCCAAGGTCATAAAGACAGTCTGTAGAGTTGTAACTTCTATCAGGCCTCCAACTCTAAAGCCCTTTCCACTACCAATATACTCAAAACTCACAATTGGAACCATAGTGAGTACAAGGTGAGAGGAGGCAGTGCCCACCCTGCAGACAGCAGAGAATCAACAGGCGTATTTTTGACAAAGATCACTGATATTAAAAATAGCAATTTTTTCCCAAGTTACTGCAATCCCAAGAAACTGTGCCTAACAGTGAGCCATAAAGCAGGAGTTGAAAACTCAAAGCTTGTACCAAATCCAGCTTTAGTGAGGTCTTTGTTGTTTGCCATGTAGTTTCTAAACATGTTGAAAATACACAAGTTGAGGTGCAGATGCACAGAACTGTGCATCACAACTGTTTTATCCTCCTCCCATTTTACTCACATACACACCCACAATTCCCTACCATTCTTGCAACTTATTATTAGAATTCCAAAATGCTCTGAATACTCTACTTTAGAAAATGAATTCTTTTTTTTTTAATTTTTTTTTTTTTTAACGTTTATTATTTTTGGGACAGAGAGAGACAGAGCATGAACGGGGGAGGGGCAGAGAGAGAGGGAGACACAGAATCGGAAACAGGCTCCAGGCTCTGAGCCATCAGCCCAGAGCCTGACGCGGGGCTCGAACTCACGGAGTGCGAGATCGTGACCTGGCTGAAGTCGGACGCTTAACCGACTGCGCCACCCAGGCGCCCCTAGAAAATGAATTCTTTATCTGAGTCAGTTAACACTAGAATATTTTAAGAAAATAAGTTGAAGGGGATAAAAGTCTCTCCTAAACCAGTTATCTCTTGTTTTTCAATTGTGAATCCCTATCAAGGAGTTAATTAAATCAAATAATTATGTTAAAAGCCTTCAGATATTTTCCTACTCAGTTTTATTTAATAAATGCTTGATTAAACTAATCAACCATTTTGCAGGAAGATTCTCCTACATAATGAAGGTGATCAATTCAGTGATTTATTTTTTCTGAGTCCTAAGTATATATGGGGCTTAAAAAGCAACTCAGTAAACACATAAATTAACTTACAGTGTTTTCCCACCAGTTCCCTCTACTTGTACCAGATAACATAGAATAGTGTTTCTACTGACACCAGTAAATCAAATTCAGCCATTAGCCAATAAGGTTAAAAAAACAGAGTCTAATCATAAAACAACCCAAAACCATTCAACAACAGACACAGGATCTTCAAGAAAAAGATGATGAAACAAGTAAATTCAGCCAAGTCTGAATTTTTTTAACCTATTATCTTCATGTATATGTCACAGTGACTTGATATTTTTAAACATTTGAAATGAAATGTTTTGAGTTTTAACTTTAATCCCAACTTCCCCTAATTTTATCTAGTGTGTAAATAATGTTAGAATCATAAGCCTCCAGGACTCCTACAGCTCTAAAGCTTAAAAAAAAAAAAAAAAAAAAAAAAAAAAAAAAAAAAAAAAAAAAAAAAAAAAAAAAAAAAAAAAAAAAAAAATGAAGGATTCAAATTATACTCATGAAACACTGAAAATAACTGAGACCTAAAAGAGAGATACGCAATTTTAACCTCTCATGAAACATGGTTAACTTTACCTAGTTTTAGACTAGCAACTTGTAAATGTGGTTGTAGTAGACAAATGGGATGATCTGCCCCACACTTATTCCCACCCTCTACCTTGTCCTGCTACATGGTTAACATGGAAGATGTCTGGTGTGTACAATGTGACCCACCTTCCTGACTGGTCCAAGGCTGGGAATAGTATGAAGCCATGTTGTCTGCCATGTGGACAAAGCCACTTTGCTTTGAGAAAGAAAATGCAGCTGATAACAAGAGTAAAGGATAGAAAGAAAGGAAATGTCCAGTAGCATGAATTACTGGTTCCAGTTTCTGGAAGCCCAGATGTCCATGCACTTACCCTACACCCCTAATGAACTATTCAATCTTTCTTAATTTCCAAAAATCAGTACATTATACTTTGTTCTTAAGTAGTTTTCCTAATAAATGCAGTGTCCCTACAGGATATAGGTCATGTAAGAAAATAAGAATCAAAATTAAGAAAAACTTTTAAAAAGCAAGTGTGAATAAAGTTATATTTAATACAATAATAACACCAGAAAAAATGGCTCATAAAAATTCACTCTTGCCTATTAATCATCTTTAAAAAGAGGTATTACCTTTTCTAGTGTTTTAAATATTGGAATTTTTTCACGTGTAGAATAATTTGTAGAACAAGATCTTCGCTGTATTATATGTTGGAGTCTTTCCAGCTCTTTCTTATAAAAATCTCGTTCTTCTTCTATACCTTTCAGAAACGTATCTAAACGAGAGGGTGACTTGTCTCGACGTTTTATTCCGTGTTCTAGCCTCATCCTTTCAACTTCCAGAGTAAGTTCTCTTTCTGTAAGTTCAAGTAGTTAAATATTAAAAGTGTTGGATATAAATTGTACAATTAGCCAAATAAATTATTTGAATAAGTTTTAGAATACAAGCTACTAAAAATCATTAATCTTTGTATATCACCTGGTGCTCATCATGACACGTGCACTCCTTAATCGTCATCACCTATTTCACCCATTCTCCAACCCACCTCCTCTCTGGTAACCATCAGTTTGTTTCTTTTTTCTTTCTTTAAAGATTTTACTTTTAAGTAATCTCTACACCCAACATGGCAATTGAACTCACAACCTCAAGATCAAGAGATGCATGCTCTTCTGACTGAGCCACTCAGGCGCCCCAAGAGTGTGTTTCTTGGTTTGCCTCTCTTTTTCCCTTTGCTCATTTGTTTTATTTCTTAAATTCCACATATGAATGAAATCATATGGTATTTGTTTTTCTGACTTATTTCACTTAATACTCTCTAGCTCCACCCATGTTGTTGTAAACAGCAAGATTTCATTCTTTTTTATGGCTAATATTCCATTGTATAGATATACCACCTCGTCTTCATCCATTCACCAGTCGATGGACATTTGGGTTCTGTCCATAATTTGGTTATTATAGTAATGCTGCTATAAACATCGGGGTACATGTATCCCTTTGAGTATTTTTGTATTCTCTGGGTAAATACTTAGTAGTGTGATTGCTGGATTATAAGGTAGTTCTATTTTTAACCATTGAGGAAACTCCATACTATTTTCCAGTGGCTGTACCAGTTTGCATTCCCACCAACAGTGCAAGAAGATTCCCCTTTCTCCACATCCTCACCAGGCCCCGTTGTTTCTTGTGTTGTTGATTTCAGCTATTCTGACAGGTGTGAGATGATATCTCATTGTAGTTTTGATTTGCATTTTCTTGATGGTAAGTGATGATGAGCATCTTTTTTCTTTTTTTAAAAGTTTATTTGAGAGAAAGAGACAGAGAGAAGAGTGCATGCACATGGGGGAGGGACAGAGATAAGAGAGAGAGAGAATCCCAAGCAGGCTCCACAATGTCAGTGCAGAGCCTGATGTGGAGCTCAAACCCATGAACCATGAGATCATGTCCTGAGCCAAAGTCAGACAGACACTTAACCGACTGAGCCACCCAGGCACTCCTGATGAGCATCTTTTCATGTGTCTGTCTGCCATCTGTATGTCTTCTTTGGAAAAATGTCTATTCCTGTCTTCTACCCACTTTTTAACTGGATTATTTGGTTTTTGGGTGTTGAGTTTTGTCAATTCTTAATATATTCTGAATACTAACTCTATCAGATATGTCATTTGCAAATATCTTCTATTCCACAGGTTGCCTTTTAGTTTTGTTGACTGTTTCCTCTGCTATGCAGAAGCTTTTTATTTTGATGTAATCCCAATAGTTTATTTTTTCTTTTGCTTCGATTGCCTCAGGAAACATATCAGGGTGAGCATGTTTAAATGCCAATGGACAAAAACAGAACAGACTAAAATTATGGAAAGGAGACTAATAATATGCAAAGTTTTAAAATTAGAGATCCAGAGAACAGACGGAGGCAGTGGCCTTTCCTAAGAGGGACATACTTCCACAGTAACATGAGGGAAGATAATGACAGACAGTTTAAGATCTGGGGACAGAAAACTGACAGAAGGCTTCCCTGATGGCTTCCATTCTCTTAGGGAACCTGAAGATTGCCTACTCAAAATGGGAAGTGGAATGAGAGTCACAGCCTTATTGAGAATGGAAAACATTTGAAATGTTCTCTGCAGAGAGTAGGAAATCAAGTGGTAAGAAATACAGAGTAAGATTTCCATACATCATTGAGTGCGCAGTTGAGATTCAGGACCATCTAATTTACAGTGCTATTGATGTGTCTGGTGCATACACATGCAATGGTTAACTGTTCATGTGTAAATGTGTAAAGGGTAAATATTTTGGTTGATTTGTGCCTGGATTTCTGGCAGGGAGGGTGCATTCACAACAGAGAAATAGGGGGTTTCATGTATTCGAAAGATCACACTGAAATGATAGGTCATGGCTAGCTATGAAAGGAAGTAAACTGCAAACTTCTGTATATAGATCTGAGCACTTTAATGTATTAACCCATTTAATCCTCACAACAATCTTTTGGGTAGGTACCATCATTAACACCATAGACAGGGAAACTAAGGCATAGAGAGGTTAAGTAATGTGCTCAAGGCTTACAGCCAGTAAGGAGAGAAGGGGTCAAATAGATTATCCACTTGGATGCTAAAGAGCCTAGGATATAGCCTCTTCTTAATATAGCACACTGGCTTTCTTTTACTTTCCAAGACACATGGAGTTTGAGGGCATCAGGCTTCTGCTCTTGCCATTCCTTCTGCCTGAGAAACTCTGCCCCCAATTTTCATCTGGCTGGTGTCTTGTCTCTGAGACCTTGGGCCAGTCAATTTCTAGCATATCTCCCCCTATTTTATTACCCCTTATCATCTCAAACTGGCTTTTTCATTTATGTGCTACTAACAAAGGCTCCACAAGAACAGGAACCTTGTATATTTTGTTCACTATGATCATATACCCAGTACCTGAAACAGCCTGGCACACAACAAGCTCATAAACATTTTGAATGAATGGGTGAGTGGATGAATTCTTAGGTGTTTCCCAAACCAACTCATTTAGTGCTGTTACCCTACTGAGAGAGAGAGAGAGAGAAAGAGAATGAATGTGTTCTTTCAAGTGATACAAGTATATTTCCTTATAAAGATTCTGCCCTTCAATTTTTCACTATTTCAGAAGTTTTCCTCTTAGTCTTAATTAATTCTATAATCTGCCTCAAAGAAGGACATACTTCTACTGGAAAATATTCAAGCAGGGTTCCTTGTGCCAACTAGTCAAAAATATAAAAGAATCCTGTAAGGTTGTTGAGGGACAGAGATTTTTCACTGTATTTACAGCACTTAGTATAGTTTCTGGTATATAACAAGCACTCCACAAATATTCATTGAATGAATGAAAGAAAGATAATCTACTAAGAAAAAATAATGCCTCAGGAGGAAATCACAATCACTTTTTAGGTTATTAACATTTTATATTTTACCTGTAACTGCAAAACTTTCCATTTTTTTGTTAAGTCTTTGCTTTTCTTGTTCAAGCTGATGAACAACAGTTTCCAGGTCTGATTTTATAAGGAGTTCATCACTCAGTCTCTCCTTTTCTTTATGGCATAAGTTTAATTCCTGCAAAATTTAATACTATAATTAAGATTTCTAACAACCTTATAAAATATCATAGCACTTAAAATAAATATTTAGTAGTACCTTAAATTAAGAGTAACTGACATACACACAGACACACATTTTCAGTTAGTCAAGTATACGGTTTCAACTAGAGTTAATTGTCAATTGTAGCTAAAAGGATCATAAAACCCAAATGTCAATAGTGCTCCTTTCTGAGAATTATTAAATTTTGTTTTCATTTGCTCAGCATACTGTTCTACTTTTTAAAATGAATAAAAAGTTTTAAAACTTTATTTTTAAAGGAAGGCAGAACAAAGACACAGTGCTCTAAGACTATCATATGTCTCAGTAATTATGCTGGTCATTCTCTTTGCCTCATCTGCACAGTGGGGATAAGATCAGTACTTGGACACCAAAGATTCACTTGTGAGGATGGAACTAAGGCTATGAAGCACTCTGCACAGTGTCTAGCACATGGAAAATGCTTAATAAATGTTAGCTATTAATTTCATTAGTATTTACCTTAAAAATATATAATATAGCACTAATGGAAAAAATAAAAAAGGTCAGAAAATAACTACAGCATCTTACTGTCAGCCAATACTACTGAAACTTGGTCAGAATTCTCAGACAAGCATTATGAATCACATTTGACTGTTTATAGTGTATATACAACAGTAGTGAACAAAACCAAAAATCTCTGCATGACACTGTTAGTAAAAAATCACCAAAACATCCACTTTCTGTTTATTGACTTCATGGGAGAATTTCACAGTATCTTTGAGATTCAAGAGTAGACAACATCTAGCAGGTTTAGTTAATTCAATTATTCAGTATTGACTTAAATACCTGTAGTTGAATAAAAAGGAAGCCACTGCGATTCACAGTGAGCACATAAAAATCAACAAGTATTCAAGCACCTACAATGTGCCAGCATATCACAATGGCTCCATGGGGGGTGGGGTGGGAGGGGAGTTTCATTTTCTAATTTAAGCCACCAGAACATTGCTGCTACACTGTATATATGAGAAATATGTGTCTGTATGTATATATACGTGTGTGTGTGTGTGTGTATATATGTATATACATATCTATATGTGTGTATATGTATATATACACACATATACATATATATATACACACATATACACACATATATACACATATATACACACATATATACACACATATACACATGTATGTGTGTATATATATATATATATATATATATATATATATATATACACACACACACATACATATAAAAGAGTATACAGAATGAAAAAACTTGGATTAGTCTCAGTTTCTAATCTTAGCAGAAACTCATCCCATTTAATGGCTATTTAAAAAAATCCCCAATCATCTTTTGGGTGACCACCCAGGACCTTCCACCTGTAAGCAAGACATTCTGTCAGTTCTGGACTACAGAACTTTATGCTATTTCTGGGTTTATGCTGGGATGATTACTACTTTTTTCATTTGAAGACTATCAGAACAAATAATATCTAGGAAAATGGTTTATAATATTAAACAAAGCTTTTTAAAAGAGGACTGTTTTTGTTTAAAATTTTATTTTTAAGTAATCTCTGCACCCAAACCAGGGCTCAAACTCATAGCCCCACAATCAAGAGTCGCATGCTCCACTGACTGAGCCAGCCAGGTACCCCAAGACTGAGTACTTTAATAAAAGTCAACAATGTTTAAAGTAATTATCAATTTCTAGTCTTAATATTACTAAACTGACAAGTCCTGAAGTAGTTAAAAGAGTATTCCTAACAGGTTTTCCAAATTTGAATTTAACTTCTAATCTACTATATATGAAATTAAAGAATTACAAAAATATAAACAAAATTAAATATATCCATTCAAAAGAATATGACTCAGCCATAAAAAGGAAGTACTTGCTACAAGCATGAACCTTGAAAACACTGTGCTAACTGAAGGAAGCCAAACACAAATGGCCATATATTGTATGATTCCACTTATATAAACTGTCCAGAATAGGCAAATCTATAGAAATAGAGGTAGATTCGTAGTTACCAGAGGCTGAACAGAGGAAAATGGGAGTGACTGCTAATGGGTATGACATTTCTTTTTGGAGTGATGAAAATGTTGTTACTAGAGTGAATATAATGTGTAAATTACATCTCAATTAAAAAATATATGCAATATAAAGCACACAAATTTTATTACCAAAAGTTCTGGCAATTCAACATAACTACTTACCAGTTGAAGTTTTGCCATTGTTTCTTCAAGATCCCGCATTTCAGAAAGCTTTCTTTTAATCTCTTTCTAGGAATAAAAAACTTACTAAGTACAGACCTGAAAGTCAAGAATACTTATCACTAAGTCACACTGCAAATAAGACCGTCATTTTTCAAGTAGTCATCCTTCTCACCAGGGAGATTTAGCTGTTTGTTGTTGTTTTGTTTTAAAGTTTATTTATTTTGAGAGAGAGAGAGAGAGAGAGAGAGAGAGAATTCCAAGCTGACTCCATGCTGTCAGCACAGCACATCGTCTGACACAGGGCTTTTATCTCACTAATCATGAGATCATCACTTGAGCCAAAATCAAGAGTCAGAGGCTTAACCGACTGAACCACTCCATGTGCCCAGAGGCTTTAGCTGTTTTACTTTTTTTTTCAATTTTTTTAACGTTTATTTATTTTTGAGAGACAGAGAGAGGGTGAGCAGGGGAGGGGCAGAGAGAGAGGGAGACAGAGAATCCGAAGCAGGCTCCAGACTCTGAGCTGTCAGCACAGAGCCTGATGCAGGACTCGAACCCGTGAACCAAACTGAGATCATGACCTGAGACGAAGTCGGACGTTTAACTGACTGAGCCACCCAGGCGCCCCGAGGCTCTAGCCGTTTTAAGCCTCAATTTCTGTGAAGAGGAGACAACATTCAGGCTTCTCTTTAATTTCTTGGTATCCTGAATGCTTACAGGGAGCTATTTATAACATCTAAAACAAGACGACCACTTAAAAAATATTTTGCCTACATGCTTGTAGGGTCTTCCTTGAACCATAATTTTTGGGTTCTTTTATGGCACCATCATTTCTTAATTTTCCTATCTTTCCACCTGCAACTACCAAGGAGAGCGAGAGCACTGAATGCCAATGTTAAAATATTTTGACCCAAAAGGAATCTTTTGTGAGCCAAGCTATCATTCTTGACCAATGCCAATGGGACCTGAGAAGCTATATTCAGTATGTTGTGTGCATGAGCATAGAAGATGCAAAAGGAGGTACAAAGAAAGGAATGAGATACAGGACTATTGCAATGAAACATGAATCACAAAAACAAAATTAAAACTGCACTATATTCTTCATTTTCTAAGTTTATTTTCTTTTAGTAATTTCTATACTCAATGTGGGGCTCAAACTCATGATCTGGAGATCAAGAGTCACGGGCTCTTCCAACTGGGCCAGACAGGAGCCCCTATATTCTTCATTTTCAAGACTCTTTTGGAAATTCTGGGTCCCTTGAGATTTTATAATTTTATAATCTTTTTCCGTTTCCATAAAAAAAAAATGCCATTGGGATTTGGATAGGGATTGTACTGAATCTGTAGATTGCTTTGGGTACTAAGTCCTCCAATCCATGAACATAGGATGTCTTTTCATTTATTTCTGTCTTCTTTGATTCTTTTCAGCAATGTTTTTTACTTTCTCAGGTAAGTTTATTCCTAAGTATTTTATTCTTTCTGATGATATGGCAAATGAGATTATTTTATTAATTTCCTTTTGGATTTTAATTATTGGCATATCAAAACACACCTGATTTTTGTGCGTTTTGTATCCTGCAACTTTGTTGAATTTATTAGTTCAAGTTTTTGTGAAATCTTTAGGATTTTCTACATATAAGATCATGTCACACAGAAACATAATTTTATTTCTTTCTTTCCAATTTGGATGCCTTTTCTTTCTCTTACCTAACTGCTTTGGCTAGTACTACGTTGAACAGAACTGGTGAGAATAGGCATCCTTGCATTGTTCCTGATCCTAGAGGAAAAGCTTCCAATCTTCACCACAGGGTATGACATGAACTGTGGGCTTTTCATATATGGCCTTCATTATGTTGAAGTATGTTCCTTTTAATGTACTAATTAGTGGATATGACACTGCATAAAATCGACTCAGTGATGTAGCATACTGGTCCTCAAACTAGATTATATACCCATTCCTGAGGTAACATGAAGACTTCCCAAGTATTATGTAAAACTACTGTATACATGTAGTTTTAGTGTATCCATATCTGGATATACAATCCTTTTCAAGAATTATCTACCTGACAACCTGCATGTGATCTAGGTATCTCATGAGTTCTCCTCTCCCACTTTTCCTCTCAACTGTTTTTCTCCCACTATTTTTTAAAATTTTATTTATTTATTTTGAGAGATAGAGAACTTACATGCATATGCACAAGTGGGAAGGGCAGAGAGAGCGAGAGAGCGAGAGAGAGAACCCTAAGCAGGCTCCACATTGCCAGCACAGAGCCCAATGCAGGGCTCGAACTCACAAACTGTGAGATCATGACCCGAGCCAAAACCAAACAGTTGGACACTTAAGTGACTGAACCACCCAGGCACCCTCTCTCCCACTTTTTAAAGCAAAAGGATGCATCTAATATCACACTGTCTCAAAATATGAAAAACTTTTGAAGCATCAGGCAAAAAGATAATCTGAGGGGCGCCTGGGTGGCTCAGTCGGTTAAGCGTCCGACTTCAGCCCGGGTCACGATCTCACGGTCCGTGAGTTCAAGCCCCGCGTCGGGCTCTGGGCTGATGGCTCAGAGCCTGGAGCCTGCTTCAGACTCTGTGTCTCCCTCTCTCTCTGCCCCTCCCCCATTCATGCTCTGTCTCTCTCTGTCTCAAAAATAAATAAATGTTAAGAAAAAAAATTAAAAAAAAAGATAATCTGAAATTTATAAAAGATACATATTTATTAAGATATGTATTAATAAGACATATCTTATTAAGACATGTATTTCCAATAAAATTTTACTTTTTGATTTAGTATGTATTTATCAACATTTGTTTGTATTTGTCACTCTGATCCATTGATTACTGATAATTATAATGATAGCACCATTCGGAGGAAAATGTTAACACTTTGAACCTTGTAGTCAAAGGACACTTTTAAAAATAAAAAATGTCAATAAATAAAATAAAATATTTCAATTCATGTATTTTTTTATTACAGAGATGTTTGATAGGGTGATCACGAAAAGATATTCAAACATAAATATGTTAAAAGAGGATAAAACTGGAGATTTCAAGAAGAAAGGGTCATTTAGATTCTACTAGCTATATTTAAAAGAACAATGTAACAGTTTTAAGAGATCGGTAGGTTGGAAATTACATCCTTTGTATCTATTTAATCTGTTTATTAATTACTATTTTTAAAGATTTTATTTTTAAGTAATCTCTACACCCAATGTGGGGCTTGAACTCACAACCCTGAGATCAAGAGTTGCATGCTCTTCCACTGCACCAGCCAGCTGCCCCCTTTCGTATTTATTTAAACTTAAAGATGAAAAATGTTAGCTACCAACTTAAAATGTGCAAGGATATACACTGTTCAAAAAATACTTTTAAAGGGTTCATGAGCACAAAATGACATAGAGGACAAACTTCCAAAGCTCACTCACAACAGAGATAAAAGAACAGAGATGAAAATCTTGAAGGAAAAAAGGACAAAGTCTGGAGAGCTAGCCTGAGAAAAAGCATGTTTCAGAAACACACCCAAATTTAGACAGCAGAAAAACCTGAATTACAAAACAACCAAACCAAAAGACCCAATCAGGTATCAAAGGGCTTAAGCTCACTATGTTCTGGAAGAATTAAGAAACGCTCCCACAACCTAGACATACCTTTGCTTCCCCAAGTTCTTTATCAGCAGTCTCAAGCACTTCTTCTTTATGTCTTTCCAACTGCTGTGCTAACTGGTCTATTTCGGTTAATTCTTGGCAGAGTTTTTCATTTTTGTTACTTAAATTAACAACTTCAGTAGTTACGGTTTCCTTGGTTTCCATAAGCTCCTGTATATGCTTCTCCAGGTCTTTATTAGCTTGCTGAAGAAAGTCAACCTAAGTTGAATTTGTAATTAACAGGTATATGAATTGGAAAATTATCCTAAATACTCAACTTTCAAAATACTTCAAAATACTCTATTTTTTAAAATACTGAAAATTAAACCAGAGGTATTTTACATTTGCAATCTTACACTGTTGATTCACAAAACTGACAATGTGTGGTTTAACAAAAATATATAGCCATTGGCATTCAACTTTTAAGCATGGAAGGAAAAGTAAAAAATTTGTGTGAACTTTTTCCCAACAGAGAGTTCTACCATTATGACAAGAATATCACTACAATGATAATATCACTCTGGACTGTGCTGTCCAATATAGTAGCCACCAGCACCCATATGTGCATACTGTAGAGCTAGTCCAAACTGAGGTGTGCTATAAATGTAAAACATACGCAAGATTTCAAAGACTTGGTACAAAAAAGAAAAAAAGGAAAATATGTCAACATCAACATTTTACAACAATTACACACTGCAATTATATTTTGGATATACTGAGGTAAATACATTATTAAAATTAATTTCATCTGTTTCTTTTTTATTTTATTTTAATCTGGTTACTAGAAAATTAAAAAAAATTTTTTTAATGTTTATTTTTGAGAGACACACAGACAGAATGCAAGCAGAGGAGGGGCAGAGAGAGAGGGAGACCCAGAATCCGAAGCAGGCTCCAGGCTCTGAGCTGTCAGCACAGAGCCTGACATAGGATTCGAACCCACGGACCATGAGATCATGACCTGAGCTGAAGCTGGATGCTTAAACCAAGTGAGCCACCCAGGCGCTCCCAGAAAATTTTAAATTATATATGTGGCTCATATCATATTTGTATTGGACAGCACTGCTCTAGGGCTACTATTGATATTCATGACTTACTATTCTGGTTCTGGTCCAGTCAGCAATGACATGTCTAAATTTCTAAAGGTGATGTAACATGCTTTATGGAACTCTCCTGTTCTTTTACTCCTAGGTCAGACACATGGCAAGGGAATCAATTACATGTTTAATTTTTTGGATTTCTTTCTACAAATCTTTTTGATATTATAAAAGAAATACAAAAACTTCGAAAACAAAGAAAATAAAAAAGAATATCTCATCACACAAAGATAAGCTGTTCGTATATTTTAGTGTATTCTCTTCCAGTGTTTTCTCTAAGTTCATACGCACATTTTTAAAAAGCAAACTGAAGATCCCATTGTGTCTACGGTTTATTCTCCTCCTCTAATTTTTTTTTAATGTTTATTTATTTTGAGAGAATGAGAGAGTGTGCTAGTTGGGGAAGGGCAGAGAGAGAGGGAGAGAGAAAGAATCCCAAGCAGGTTCAAACTTACGAACCATGAGATCATGACCTGAGCTGAAATCAAGAGTCAGATGCTTAACCAACTGAGCCACTCAGGTACCCCTATTCTCCTTTTAAATATTTAACATTATGGTGTATATATCTTTCTGCCTCATTAACTATCTTTTTAAAACATGATTTTTCAATAGTTGCATCCTATTTCTGGATAGTTTGGCTCTATCAAATTTTTCCCACTATATAACTGGTAAACAACTCTGTTACTTTTACAAATCAATGAACTGTTACAAACACTTAACGATTGTATATACTCGGTGAAATAATTATGTCATTACCTGAACATTTAAATGAGCAATAAGCTTTTCATTGGTTTTGTTTCTAGTCTCCAGAGAGAGGACATCAGGGGAACGGCCACTGTCCAATGCAACTGATAGTCGTTCTATCTCTCGTTCTCTTAGCTCAATCTGAAGACATAAAATCATGCTATAATTTTAAAAAATTTGCTTTAAACTGAAATAATTAACACTGGACACTTACTCGGATATACTTCCATTTCTCTTATGCTTCACAATGTATATAAGAGATTAACACTCATACACGTATCCACACCAATATGGGATTATAAAATGCATATACACAAAGCAAAAATAAACAGAGAAAAATGTCAAAATAAGAATGTCAACAAAGTTTTCGTAAGTATTTCTATTGAATAGATTTTTCCTAATTAATTTTAATTTTTTGGTTTCTTCCCCCCCTCCTCCAAGATTAGGCAATATTGATATAAAAAGAAATGATTGAGTACTAGAATGGAGTCTGAGTGACTTCAGTGCCTAGTGGAATAAATGTAGAATAAATGAATAAATGTAGAACAGAAAGAATTACTACTGAAACTCAATATTAAAAAGGATAGGAAGTTGGGGTGAATTTAATTATTATTTAGAAAACAACACACACAAAATCACAGAGATCACTATCAACCATGAAATCACACTTACATGCACGAATTTGGAAAAATGGATGTACACATTTGCAGTGTTTTTTCAAAAACACTGAAAGCTAAAACCAAGCACTCAATTCAACAATATTGAGCACAATTCTAGGTATATGAAGATGAATAAAACATGATTTCTAACTTTCAGGAACACAGATTTACCAAGAAAACTAGCAAGTAAATCAATAATTGCTGTAGTATGTTGTTCAGTGGTAGAATAAATAGATGTATGACACCAAAGTGATTAAGGGAATAAACCGATTTACTCTCCATGATATACCCATATGCCTATGGAAATTAGTGAAGGCTTTATCAAATACATATGCCCAAAAAGGTTATAAATTATGCTATGAAGAGAAAGAAGAAAGGAGGAATGTTCCAGGCAGTGACACAGAAACATAAAGCCACATGGTATGATTGAAGGAGCAGAAATGGCTCGGTAAGACTGAATATACAAGGGAACTTATGGTTGGGTCTGAAGAATCAGTCAGGAAATAATTATGATTAAGTACTGAATACTTTGCTAAGGAGAAAGATTGCTCTGCACTAAAAGATGAGTAAGAATAAAATCAGAGGTAGGGAGACCTACTGGAGGAATGAATGAGAGATGAATAAGGTGTAAAATAGAACAGTGAGATGAGCAGAAGAAGTAAGTTTACAAAGTACATAGAAGTGACAGAATTTGGTGAGTGGTGTGTGAAGGGAAGAGAAGGAGATCTAGAAAGACTACAGAATGTTGGCTTGGGCAGATGGTGATGCCACCAACGAACATAGAGAATATAGGGGAAAAAAAACAAGAGTTGAGGCAGAAGATAACAAGTTCAGTACCAGACATATGGTACAAACAGCTTTCATCCAAGTGGAAATGCCCAGTATAAAATTGAACATACGGGTCTGGACCTCTGCAGAGATTTGAGCCAGAAAGACTGGGAAGTCATCAACATACAGAGAATATTTTAAGAGAGTAAATGAGACCTTCTGAGAAAATATACAGGGAAAGGAGTCAAAGACAGAATCCTGAAAAACAGTAATATTTCAGGGAAAGGGCAGAAAGAAAAAGCAAAGAAGAAATTATAAGAGATTTTTAAAAAAGGGGAAACTGAAAGAAAATGAGTCATGGGATGGTTTCAAAAAGAAATTATCAATAATGCCAAATACTATAAAGGGGTCAAGGAAATGGAGACTAAAAGTATCCTTTTGGATCTAGCAATTAACGTCACTGATGTCATTACTGAACCCATTTATGTAATGGGAAGCAGAAGCCAGAAGGCAACAGGAGAGCCAGAGGTGAAGAAGTGGAGACAGAAGAGTAAGATACTCTTTAGAGAAGTTTACATGAGGGAGGAGAGAGCATTAGCAAGAGGGGCATTAACAAGAGGGGCTTTAGCAAGAATTAAATAAAGGAGATCTTTTTTCAAAAATTTTTATTATTATTAATGTTTAAGTTATTTATTTTGAGGGACAGAAAGAGCATGAGTGGGCAGGGGCAGACAGAGAGAGGGAGAAACAGAATCCCAAGCAGGCTCTGCACTGCTAGTGCAGAGCCCAATGTGGAGCTCAAACTCACAAACCAGGAGATCATGACCTTAGTCAAAATCAAGAGTTGGACACTTAACCAACTGAGCCACTCAGGCACCTCTAAAAGAGATCTTTTTAAGGGATGTTAGCAATGACCATGATAGCACCTCCCTCTAGGACTGTTAGGAAGATTTAAAGCATTACTAGTTATAAAGTGGCCATATATGAGTTTGTTAAAAAAAAAAAAAAAAAAGAAAAGAAAAAGAAAAATCGATTAAAGCAAATAAGAAGGGAGGGAATAGAGCCACACACACAGGTAGAATAGGAAGAACACCACACTACTCATTAAGTCTGGAGAGCCTGAGTGTGAACGCTGATGATTTTATTTTTTAAAAGTGTTTATTTATTTATTTTTTGGTGGGGGGGGGCAGAGAAAATGTGAGCAGGGAGGGGCAGAAATAGAGAATTCTAAGCAGGTTCCACGCTATCAGCACAGAGCCCAATGCGGGGTTCAAACCCAGAAACTGTGACGTCATGACCTGAGCTGAAATCAAGAGTTGGACACTAAATCAACTGAGCCACCCAGGTGCCCTAACATTGTTAAATTTAAATGTAGAGATAGGAAGTTGAGACAAGGTGGTATCTTGACAACAAGGGTATTTATTATAGGTTGGTTAAAGAGCTTGAGGAGAACAGCAACATTTGGAACATAGACTGAGAAAAATAGAACAAACTCAAGCAAAAAGAAAAAGAAAAAAAAAAAAAGACAGGCAGCTGAGTGGATTCAACTAAGATTGATAACCACAATAAATTGATGGTTTCAATCAGAATGGTTGGGCTATTTTCTCCAAACACCTCAGCCACCTCACAAAGATGGTAAAGACTGGTCAGCTTATGTTCATAAAGTACTTGGAAAAAAATGTGATGAAGTGTGATTATAAATTAAAAAATAACAACATTCAACTTGTGCATATTTGATATTTTCAATCTCCATACAGTAAGTTTTTTGGTTGACATTATCACAATCCTTTTACTCCATTTTTATCTGAATAATCTTCAAAGTACTTTATAAACTTCACAGTTACACCAACACGTAAGTTACATTTATATTTGTATGTGCAGATCACTTCACTCCAAAAAAATAGTCATGTGCAGAAAATGAAAAACATGTTACCCAATTTAAGCTTCAGTAAGCATATTAAGAAAGAAAGCTGTAGTTATACAAATCAGAATTTGCCAAAATACCAACAGAAGGTATAAAAGAACAAAGCTTATTATGGTTATGATCTAACCCTGCATATTATATCAATTCCCCTACTTCTTCAGAGAATTATTTTACTAGTTCTTATAGAGAATACACAACAAAAAATATGGTACCACTCTCAAAAAGACTTCTGTTCAAGATGACAAAATCTACAGTAAGAGCAAAAAAGTTATTTAAGATACCACTTTAAAGCATAATACACTTCAATAAAATACCTCCCAAGATGGAAACAAGTAATATAATTAAGATATTTGGGGAGATAGATGACTCACCAGAAGAAAAAAAAAAAAAAACAAAAAACTGCTATTTACCTCAATGCATAATGAAGGGACTGGACTGTTTGCTCTAAAGCCATCTAAGCTACTCCAGCTACTATCCTTATTAAGAAACTGGTAGAAAAGATAAAAGCTGTATACAAACTCAGTATCAATAATCCCAAATATAACCCAATTTTATTTACAATCACAGCATACCCATCCCAACAAGGCGACCATGCATCCCTACTATGCAAGTATATAAAAATCCTACCTGCTGGTTATAATCTCGCAGTTCACTTTCCATCATTGCTAACTTTTCTTGTAACTGGTGGACTTCCTCTTGAAGTTCTTGAATTCTGAAACACATTTATAACTAGTGCCAATATAGTTTTGTTGAGAAATACAAAATAACAAGAAATGAAACTAGATGTGTTGTCCTATAAATTCTCTACTTTCTATTTCTCAGTAAAGTATGAAGTGCTGTGCCAAAGGGTTCCCAAGCACAATATAATCAGAGTAACATTATCTTGCCGATTTAATTTTATATTCTAAGAATGCATAAAAAAATCCTGAGCGGTAAATAATTTGTAACCAGATACATTATGCCTACTATTGCATTTTGATCCTTAAAACTCTTTGAGGGGCGCGCCTTGGTGGCTCAGTAAGTTGGGCGTCTGACTTCAGCTCAGGTCATGATCTCGTGGTCTGGGTCTATGGGTTGGAGCCCTGCGTCGGGGCTCTATGCTAACAGCTCAGAGCCTGTAGCCTGCTCTGGATTCTGTGTCTCCTCCTCTCTCTGCCCTCCCTGGGTCACACTGTCTCTCTCTCAAAAATAAACATTAAAAAAAAAAAAACCAAAGAACAACAACAAAACTCTTCGAGGTACTGCTGTCAATTCTTAGGTTCAAGAAACTAGAGGGTGTAGTCCAGAATTCACAATATTATTAAGTGAAATAAGGGATCAAAGTGTGTTTTCTGAATGACCCTGTATTTTCTAATGAACTACCCTGCAATCCTGGAGAAGAAAAATATTGAGAAATACTACAATTTACCAAGTATCTACAGCAAAAACCTACTGCTTTCTGGAACTTGTTAATTCTAACAAAATCAAGATTTGTCTAAATTATCTGAATTGTACAACTGCTCAAATGTATTTGTACTATATCAAACTTTGCCAAACATTAACATAAATATGACATAACCACTTTCATACTGCAAAAATAAAGCCTGAAGCCAGTTCTGCTTTTAAGAGAGATTTTCCATGGAGTAGAGTCAGTGAGGCTGGACATACCCTGTCCCTGCTGTTACTGGAACCAACATTTCCTGCTTATGTAGGTTTAGAAGAGTATGTATGCAACTGCACTCATATATATGCACATGAATGACTCTGTATACAAGCTATGTATACGTGCAAATGAAAACAAACAAGATGTTTAAGAGACTAATGCCACCCACGATGGTTTGATAGAAAAGAAACGTTTTAAGGAGAAAAGATAATGACAGAAAATGACATATATGCAGACCAAAAGCCTCCTTAAATATACTAACAGGCTGTCTGGGAAGTCCTAGGTTACAACTGTAACAGAAAAACAAAACACAAAACACTACACAATTAACGTCAGATAATTATAGTTATGTAGCACTGCATAAGAATAACTAAGAGATCCTAATTAGTACCTCAGTAATGTTCCTTTGTATTGTTATATTGAGATTAATAAAGTGAAAAAACTCCTGCATACTTTTTACATAATCTAAAAAATAAAGTTATCTGCACTAACCATTTCTACTAGTATAGTACGTATTTTAGAATGTGTCTCCAGCTATGACCATAGAGGCTGTCACTAGTGTTCTCTTGCTCCTATGAACCCCTTATAACTTTCTTAATGGCATTCTATGTATTTCTCTTGTCTCATTTTTACTGTTAGAATATAAGCTTCTCAAAAGCAATACTATCTTACTCATCTTTACATCCCCAAAACACTTACATTGTGCTTTTCCCGGAGTTTAATGAAGTTTCAATTAAAATGGAATTTATATCTGATTCCAATATAAGGAAAAACAAGTACATAGAGTTAGAGAATCATGAAGCAAAAATGTCAAAGCCAGTTACAAATCTATTCAGGTTCGTTGGCATTTGACATAATCTGAATAGAGTCCTGTAAAAGATGAATTGGGCAATGAAACTAAACATTAAAGCAATGCTACTAAAATAGGTTCTAGATGGCAATAAATTATTTTAAAGCAGATATGAACAGAAACATCAGATTTATGATCTATTTGAGATCAAAGTTTCAAAACAAGTAAAAACATTCTATATTGAAGATACATTCAGAAAGTACTTCTTGAGTGCTTATACAAAATTCTGTGGTAGGCCCTGGAGATACAACAGTCAAGAAGACTGAAGCCCTACATCGAGAAACTTATAATCAAGTTGATTAACTGAAACTAGCAAAAAATTATTTAATGCACCTGTTATCAGCCACTTGCAGGAGGTCTGCAATGTAAGGGTCATCTGGCTGAGGAACTGGATATGAACTGACTTCGGAGGGAGGGACTGGTTCGTCTATCTGCATACGCTGGCGCCTGAAAGCAATACTTCTTTTCTTGCCACCTAGAAACAAATGTGTACTTCAAAAACATTTAAAAGAAACAAAACACTGTCTTAAAATTAAATATTCCAGAACGTTAGGCTTTTTGTTATAAAGTATGCCTCTAGCTCATAAAACCTAGCGATAAACTATCTCCCCCCCTCACACCCTGATCTTTAACTATACAGTGCATTCCTGAAAACCTCAACAAGACATGGCTATAAGACAAGTTTTATTTTCTGCATGCTTGGTACATATACCCAGATTTAATCTATTCCTCCACTAGATGGGGACAAGACTTTGGTAAGATTAAAAGTTGAGTGTGCCCTGTGGTATTTCCTATTATGAGCTCAAGAAATCATCACCAGCAGAAAACTATCAAACGAGAAGCTTAGGGAAGTAATAACTAAAACAGAAATGTTTATTAAGCAATGCCAAAAGAGCAGAGAAGAGAAACTTTATGTAGCAAAATTAGTATATAATAAAAGTCATCTATAATATAAAATGATGCTACAACCTGAATTAGTGGGAAATGTCTACTTAATTATCCTTGAAACTAGCAGGAGTAATTTCTTTTTATGGGTAGATACATACTGTCTTGGTCCAAATTAAATGGATAGTTTACCTTTGTCAGCATCTGGCCAAGATTAGATGCGCTTGAAAGACAAATCTATCGTCAGGAAGAACAAACACAATCCACAACCTTGTCTTCATTAGAATCCTAACAAATTTTGTATGCACTTACCTCATTTTGAGGATGAAGAAACTGGGTCAAAAGTATTTAAATGACTTGTTTCTAGTTACACACCTATACAAGGCAAACCATTATCTCCTTCCCTTACCTCCTGGTTTTTCTCCTTGGTTGCTCCTTCTCAGCTTCTTACAAAGACCCTCTCCTTCCACTGTCCAAGGAAGTTAAATGCCAACTTCCCTAGGGTCTGTCTTTGGTTCTCCTCTCTTCCCAGTCTATACAATCTCACTAGCTAATTCCAATTACATCCATAGCTTCAATTCCCATGATACTCCAATGACTCCCAAATTCAAATCTTCATCTAGGACCACACTTCTTTTTTTTTTTTTTTTTAAGTTTATTTATTTATTTTGAGAGAAAGAGCAAGAGAGCAAGCATGTGAATGGAGGAGGGGCAGAGAGAGAGGGAGAGAGAGAATCCCAAGTAGGCTCTACATTCAGGGCAGAGCCCCATGTGGGGCTTGATCTCATGACCCCTCACAAACTGTGAGTTCATGACCTGAGCTAAAATCAAGAGTTGGATGCTTACCCAACTGAGCTACCCAGGCGCCCCTGGGACCACACTTCTAAGAACAGATCTACACCACAAATCCCACTGCATACTAGAAATCTCAATGCAGATGTTCCACTAGTATAACATACAACACATGCAAAAGTGAACTCCTGCTCTGCTTTCCACCTTCTCAATCTTAAAAATGTTACCATCATCTACCCACTCATTCACTAGAAACAGAAATCTGGGAATTCTTCTACTTCCCAAGTCCCTCATATTCAGTCACTAAATTCTATAGATTCCACCTCCTGAATCTCTCTGGAATCTGCCCCACTCTTTTCTCAGGAAATCTGACCATCCTCTTTCTCCACTTTAATCTAGTTACTTCTGAGACCTTTTCCATGTTTCTCGATCTTTTCTGCCTTTAGCCCAAAGTCCCCCTCTCCATCTCATCTCTTGCCATTTCAATCCTCATGGATTCCACTTGGCTACAGGCACACCATAAGATGACTATGCGTGGTCTTTGTCAACACTTGGAACTGTGCCAGCATATAGATCTCCCTTCATCACAGTCTTCACTCTGACCAAATCACTCCTGGTTCTCACTGTGCTCCTAATCCCTCACTCTCCACCTCATCTCATGATCCAGCATTTTCCTACACCTCACTCACTCTCAATAATCTTCATCCCGTCATTCAGACATCTTGATGATCTTGTCACTGGTACTAGAGATTCTTCCACCAACTTTATGCCTGACCACCCTCAACTATGGATATGCCCCATCATTTCTTTTGTCCTGCTCGAGAACTACTGAGTATAAAGCTAAAAAACAGTAAAAATAAACTAAGAAATAGGTAAATAGATCATTTCCAAATTTTTGATGAGTACAGATTATCTTTACAACTAAAATAATAATGATAATATTGACATGGCAGCGATCAAAGAGTTCCTTTTATAGCTTGTGGATCTTCAGATTGATAATTCTGCCACTTTCATTTCATTTCCTGAAAGTCAGGGCCGGCTTGTGAAAAGTCGTTAAACAACATGCTAAATGTGAAATGTCAATCTTTACCCTGAACCTTTCCTGTTCAGAGCATCAAATGAAGACTTCACTAGGTTTTATAGTGGCTTTCTGATTTTGGTAGTCCATTGAATTTGGAAGTCTATTTCAAAGGAGTTTGAAAGTTGTTGTACACTGTTAACGACTGACTGCCCCTGTCCTCCCTGAAATACCATGATTGTTTATGAAAAGTATCTTTAATAACGCTGCGGACAATTTGGCTTGGAAAAAAAATAATAATGATACCAATAATTTAAAAAAGGAACTTAAAATAATGATGAAGGAAATAAAACTCTGGGCACTGAAGTTAGACCACTTATACCTAAGAAGATACTATTATATAAGTTCTTAAACACATGCATAAAATACTAGCTGGATCTTCAGAAATAAATTTAAAAGTTTATGTGATGATCCAAGATCATCTTTTCAAGTATTAAAGTCTAAGCATGAAAATCCAAAGTCCTATTTTGGTCAACAGCTTTAATATCTTTAAAAGATTAGGTGTGTACAATTTGTTTTGAGAAGGAACAGACCTACCTGGAGTTTGTACTACAGCATGCAAATTCTTTTCTTGAAGTTGTTGAATTCTTTCATTCTTAGCTTTACTCTCTTTTTCCAAAAGTTTGAGTTTATGAACATATTGGTTATTTAGAAACTTCAGATCAGCTGTTTCACGTGCACACTTCTTCAATGTAGTTTTCAACTCTTAAAATGAAAAAGATTCAAAAACTATTTTACAGATCAAGAAATCAGTTAAGTCCTTCCATTTCACAAAATACAAAAAGTCGCATTAATTTGAAAGGCTCCATCCAATTCTTAGCCAAGCTTTGTTTGAAAGGCTATTACCTTTTCTACCACTGTTAACAAAACTGCAAATAAGTCACTAAACAACAGGGAATTATATTTTTTTTTCTGCTATGTGGCTTAAGTTATGGCTTTTGCTCCAACTTAGTAAACTGGGTATGCAGCTGAGGGATTATGAATTCATGCCAGGTATTAGGGCTTTCTACTGAATATAACAAGAATTTATAATAAGATAGCCATACAATTACCCTCTGTCCAGGACTTTGAAATCATCCTTTTTTAAAAAAACTTATTAATGTTTATTCCTTTTTTGAGAGAGACACACATACACAGAGCATGAGCAGGGGAGGGGCAGAGAGAGAGGGAGACACAGAATCTGATGCATGCTCCAGGCTCTGAACTGTCAGCACAGAGCCTGATGCAGTGTTCGAACCCACAAACGTGAGATCATGACCTGAGCCAAAGTCGGACGTGCAACCCACTGAGCCACCCAGGCGCCCCAAAATCATTCTATATAATCTTTGAGTTCAAAGACAAGGCATTAAAGATTCCGAATGTGGGGCGCCTGGGTGGCGCAGTCGGTTAGGCGTCCGACTTCAGCCAGGTCACGATCTCGCGGTCCGTGAGTTCGAGCCCCGCGTCAGGCTCTGGGCTGATGGCTCAGAGCCTGGAGCCTGTTTCCGATTCTGTGTCTCCCTCTCTCTCTGCCCCTCCCCCGTTCATGCTCTGTCTCTCTCTGTCCCAAAAATAAATAAACGTTGAAAAAAATAATTAAAAAAAAAATAAAAATAAAAAAAAAATAAAGATTCCGAATGATAGAAGATTCTCACCTCACTTTAGTTCTCTTACTTTCAGTAAGAGGTTGTTTCAAGGACATTTCTTTAGTTTCAGCATTTAATATTTTCTACAGTAATTTTATTTTTTTATTAATTAAAAAAACTGGGGGGAGGTACTTGAATGGCTCAGTCAGTTAAGTGTCTGACTTTGACTCAGGTCATGATCTCCTAGTTCATGGATTCAAGCCCCGTGTTGGGCTCTGTGCTGAGAGCTCAGAGCCTGGATCCTGCTTCAGATTCTGTGTCTCCCTCTCTCTCTGCCCTTGCCCTGCTCCCTCAAAAATAAACATTTAAAAAAATAACAAAAAAATTTTTTTTGAGTATAGGTGACAAACGTTGCGTTATTTTCAGGTATGCAACACAGGAATTCAGCTTCTCTATAAGTTATGCTATGCTCACCACAAGTGTAGCTACCATCTGTCACCATACAATGCCACTGCAGTATCAGTGACTATATTCCCTATCCTGTGCTTTTTTCTATAGAAATTTTAATTCTAAAGATTTAATCCACATATAGTAAAGAAGAATATAGCTATGAAATGCAAATTTATTTTCCTTGTTGGGAACTCTTTGACACACTCTACATTATTTCAAGACTGTCAGGGGGGAAGACTATCACATTTCTGCATAGATGCCTTCCCTACATATAAAACAAAAAAGGAAAAAAATATTACATTTTAAAAATCACAAAATTTTACCTTTAATATGTTGGCTTGATTGTTCTCTCAGTTTCATTAATTCCAGGTATAATTCATTATTTTCCTTTATCAATCTTGCATTTTCAAGTTTATAAGGTTCCAAAACAAAATCAAAATTGGCACTTTCTTTTTCAGCTTTCACAGCAGATAATTTTGATTTCCGAAGACTTTCTGTTGTATGAACTAGGTCACTGAAATTATATAAAATATAAATACAAGGAAACATTCTCTTAACTTTTAATAACTAAAAATATATTTCTAAAAATGTTAAATGTTAATGCTAAGTAAGATGAAATCTAAAAACAGGGTGGTGGTTCAGTCAGTTAAGCATCCAACTCTTGATTTCAACTCAGGTCCTGATCTCACAGTTTGTGATACCTGCTCCAAGAATGCTTGGGATTCTCTCTTCCCTCTCTCTGCCCCTCACCCGATCGTGTGTGAGTGCGCACGTGCTCCTTACCTCTAAGCACACAGACCAGAATATTCATACATCAGTATTTACTGAGCAGGGAACACAATATAGAACACATTATCATGGAGCTTCTATCCTATTGACAGTTTGTCAGGTTTTAATACTATATGATAAACTCAACAACTATTTCAGTGCCAACTATATGTTCAGCCTGTCCTAGGTAGAGCAGAGATAAAGTCAGTCTCTAGTCTTAAAGAGTTTGCATTCTAAAGGAAAGTTTCCAACAATGATTTAAGTAGTGAAGGTAACATTCAGCAGATGTGACAGACTCCTGCAGGCCATTACAGCTAAATGAGCATGGGCAGGAGGGAGAGGAGAGAGGGATTTCCCAGGCAGACAGAATAACACATGGAGATCAAGGGTGAGAGTACACTTATGTCTGGGGAGCTTCAAATGGTTACATACATGGGAGATGAAGCTGTAGAACAAAATCACTATATAAAAAGTCTGCCAGTTTTTGAAAGTTAAACACACTTTACCCTACAACCCTGAATCGCAGACCTAGAACTACATCATGAAGAGTTCTGGAAGCCATAATAAAGACCACAAAGTATCCCCCTCCAGTCTCTCCTTACCATCATCACAGCTTGAGCCCTACTGCAAAAGCTTCCCAAGCAATTTCCCTGTTCCTGTCTCAAATCACAGTAACAACTCATGTAGAAAAGAACAAAAATCACACAGAATCTTTCACTTAAAGTAACATGTAACCACTAAAATAATGACCAACCACATAATGGAGAACGATTATCAAATCACAGTAATTAAAAGACCAGAGAGGCAGACATAGAACTCCCAACTGTATCAGAAAAATCACATAAAAAAATTGTAATTCTATTCACAGAGAAAACTCTCAGAAATGTCTACTCTGAACAGTGTAGTGTGAATGGTGACCCTGAGAGTTTTGCAATGTGGAGGACCTGATGATATAGAAGCAGGATCTAAGAATAATGAGCTTCAGATGATTGAAGGACTTTATAAAAACAAAAACCAAAAAAATCCACCCATTTCTTCACCGTAACACGAAGTTCAATAGAAACTAGATAAATGGGATTAAGGATCACACAGGTTTAGAACTGTATTTTCATCTTTACCTGAAAAGTTTTTCTACCAAAGGTAAACACTCCACTGTCAGAGTCTGGCGGTATCCCAACTGATCCAATCTTTTTCTAATATTAATATACTTTCTTTCTGCAGCTGTAGTCATCTTGTCTTCCAAAAGTAGTTTTATTCACTCCCCAAAATTAAAGCCCTAAAAGAAAGGAGTAAAACATTACTGTTATTATAGTTATTATTACTGTGTCATGGTAAGAAGGAAAGATTATTTTAATATGAATCAACTACTTTTTGTTTCTCTTCAGGTAGGCAGCCTTCTGGAATATTTAGATTGATTTAAATGCAATGCTTATGATAGTCACATTGCTGCACTAAAATAAATCTCTCTTTATAAGCCTATATGTAAAAGTTAAAAAAATAAAGAAGAAAACAAAGAAGAATATTTTCCCAAACCTGAGGTAGGCAGAGAATCTTTCGAGAAGCCTTTTTTGAAAGCACTAAATATAAAAGAAAAACCTGATAAATTTTTAGACTTCATCAAGTTAAAAATGTCTGCTCATCAAAATATTCCATTAAGAAAACAAAACAACAAATGAATGGGAGAAAATATTCATAGTATCTGATAAAGGATTTATATATGAGGTACATAAAGAACACTTACAGTTCAATAATAAAGCCCATCCAAAAGAAAATGGGCTAAAGACTTGAATAGGCACCTTGCAAAAGGTAACTGAATGGGAACGATCATAGGAAAAGGTGCCCACCACCTTTAGTTATCAGGGAAATACAAATTAAAACCACAATGAGGTATACAATTTCACCCATACTAGAATGGCTAAAATAAAAAGCACAAGACCAAATGTTGTCAAGGATTTGGAGCAATTGGAATCTTCACACTGCTGACAGGAATGTAAAATCACTGTGAAAAAAAGTCTGGCAGTTTCTTATAAACAAACTTCTACCCTGTAACTCTGTAATTCTATTGCCAGGTATTTACTCAAGGAAATGAAAATAAACATCCACAAAGAGACTCTACAAGAATATTCATAACAACTTTACTCATAATAGTCCCAGACTGGAAACAACCTATATATGTCCATCAACAGCAGAAGTATAAATAAACTATGAGGTATTGACACAATCCTACTCAGGAATGGAACAGAAGGAATTTACTGATACATGTCAACCACATGAATTAATTTGGACATTTGAGCAATGGAAGCCAGACACATATACTGTATGGTTCTATTTACATGAAATTCAAGAACAGGCAAAATGAAACTATGTAGATAGAAATCAGAACAGCTGTGGGCTGGGTCAGCCTGGGTCAACAGAGTGGGTGGAGACTGGCTGGAAGGTTTAAAAAGGAACTTTCTGGGGTGATGAAAATATTATGTTAACTGGGGTACCAGTTACACAGGTGTACTGCATTTATCAAAGGTTTTCAAATAGTACACTTGAGATCTGTGCATTTCACCATGTAAATTTTACTTCCATGAAAAAAGACACACATAAAGTAGTTCTACACATATTTTTATCCTTGCCTTTTTCAATGCTTATGAATATATTCTCTATCAATCTGCCCTAAAATGGAGTTATCCAAAGATTGCTTGTGTAGAACCTTTGCTCTTTTCTAACCTTCACCAGGTAAACATAGTGCTAGTACTCATATTTCTAAGACACATTAAACTTTTGTTTTACAGCTCTATTGTTTTTCACAATTTATAAAATGTTAACGTATATGAACACATGCAAAATTTCATCCTCACAACTTACCCTATAAGGGAGACAGGGCCTACTAGACATCCTCCCAATTCAAAGGCAAGGAAAGGATGCCTCTAGAGAGTTTTCCCAAACTACAAAGCCACAAATCAGGTGGGCATTCAGGTCTCTTGAGTCCTGGTCCAGCACTCTTGTTTCTCTACCAAGGTGCAATCCTTCTTGGCCTTTTGGCTAAGAGCAAGTGTAGTATCTATACCAAGCTGCAGCAACTTACCAAATCACTTCTAAGGTAGTACCTCTCCTTGATTACTCCTTTCTACAAATCTTTTCTCTCCACGCTCTTGCTAACCTTTTCTTTCAGTTGTGTCTCCATGGACTTTCTAGGTTCCTTCCACAAGAGGGACCTGATTGATGCAGGTCAGAAGAAACTCCTGGAGACATCAGAAAAACACCTGTCAAGGGGCGCCTGGATGGCTCAGTCTGTTAAGGGTCGGACTTTGGCTCAGGTCATGATCTCACGGTTGGTGGGTTCAGGCCCCTTGTTGGGTTCTGTGCTGACAGCTCAGAGCCTGGAGCCTGCTTCAGATTCTGTGTCTGCTTCTCTCTCTGCCCCTTCCCCACTCAGGTCTGTCTCTCTCAAAAATAAATAAACATTAAAAAAAATTAAGAAAAACACCTGTCAAACCAAGAACTAGCAGGGCCTCACCACTCAAATATTTCTCCTCTTTGTCTATTACCAACTTTGGTTACCCAGAAATAATACTTCCTCACATCCGGGCTGAGGCAGAATGTAAATAAATCAAAAAATCATCGAAACACAGGGCAGACAGAAAAGATTAATATCCCCCAAGAAGAACAAAAAACATGTATTATGCTTTCCTCGCCTATGGGCTGCTATCTTCCCCCACCTACATCACCCAAGCACTGTGGCTCTCCTCAAATTTTCTAGAACAACCATATAAAAAGGTTAAGTTTGGAGGTCCTCCAGGCATATGTGTTTAGAACCACTCGCTAGCTTGACTCTGGGGAAAAGCAGGTGTCTGAAAGCCAGTACATCTTGTTTTTACAAAAGTGACTTGTGTGCACATCTGCACAGGGGCTCAAAACAAAACAAAAGGCCAAGCTAAGTTAGGTTGTCTCGAAGTCCTTCAGTGCCAAACTTAAAATAGTAGAGACTGGAAAGGACAGGGGATGTTTTCGAAAATGCAAAACAAAAGTTAACAAACGGCTCTAGTCCTACACCTTGGGATGCTTTGTTTTTTAACAAAGAGCACGTACTGTTCTTACTCAACAGGGCACTTTAACTTTTAAATCAACCCATCAGTTGGCAGCAGGCAGGTGTGCACGCACCGCACAAACGCCCGCGGCCAGGGGCGCGGGAGGAAACCCGGCGGCTTGAGTTGCTCCAGGACCACCTCCGGGCCGCGGCTTCACTGCCGGGTGTCGAAGTGAAGGGGTGTCGGACGCGGGCCCGCAGGGAGTCTACGCGCCCCGCCCTGCCGGGCCTCACTTCCTCCCGCGGCCGCGCGGCCTCCCTCCCGGCAGCGCCCGGCCCC